AGGAACTTCCTACCAATAGGGTTCTCCCTCCATTTCTATCTTTTTTGATACATAATTTTTAAAGCAAATAGAAGTCCAAGAACCCAATTTTTATTAGTATTATTAGTAGTAGTACAAAAAAGATTTTTAGGGCAGGGCAATGTAGCTGTTTAGAGTCCTAGGTATAAGCCCCAGCAGAGTGTTTTCCTAGCATGTAGGATGTTCCAAGGCCACACAAAAACCCAACACTATAACAAAAATATCATGTTTTAAAATGAGTCAAATGAGACCTGATGGAGCACACTTATAACGCCACACTCAGAAGTCCGAGGTAGCAAGATTACAAGTTCATGCACAGTATGGGCTATATAGTAAGACACAGTTTGGGGGGAGAAAATTTAATTGCAAGCCTTAAAAATACTTTTATTATTATTTTTGTTGTCTCAGATTACACCTACTTTGTGAAGAATGAAGAGCATGGAGCCTACCTAAAATCTTCCAGGAAATACCACTCTAAATGAGTCAGAAATATATTCAGGCCATGACATACTAGGTACAATTAGGATGCTAACCAGATGATGTTGGCTAGAAACTTAATGTTTACCTTTTTTCATTATGTAAGTCTAGCCCTGTTTCCTCTGCTGAAAATGCTACATCTAAATGTATCCTCTATAGCTTAAAGACTAACCAAATAATGAAACAAAAATATACAGAACACATCTATATTTAACAAAGTATCTGCACTACCTTTTGTTCTGTTTTTTTTTTGTTGTTGTTGTTATTTTTATTTTATGTGTATGTGTGTATTGCCTGCATGTAGGTTAAGTGCACTGGTGTTGTGCAATGCCCGCGGAGGTCAGAAGAGGCTGTAGAATGCCCTGGGACTGGGGTTAGCTGCCATGTGTGGGTGCTGGAATTCGAATCCGGGTCTTCTGCAAGAACAACCAGTGTTCTTAACCACTGAACCATCTCTCCAGCCCCTTGTTCTGTTCTTGAGACAGGGTTTCATGTAGCTCAGGCTAGCCTCAAACTGGCTATGTAGCTAAGGAAGATGAACTTCTAATCTTATCTCCATAGTACTGAGGTTACAGGTGTGACCCACCATGCCTGGTTTGTGCTATGCTAGGGATCAAACCCAGGACTATGTGCATGCTAGGCAAGCACTTTGCAAATGAGCCATATCCTCAGCCCCTGTTTTCTTTACACATAAGAATGCTGTTTTAGGGCCAGTGAAATGACTTGGCAGGTAAAGGTACTTACCATGCAAGTCTAGCAATCTGAATTAAATCCCCAGAACCCACATTAGAAAGAGAGAACCAACTCCTGAAAGTTGTCTTCTGATCTCCACATGCATGCTATGGCACGAGTGGCCACACTCACACACACATCATATAGACACACAATAATAAAAAATGTGAAAATTTTTTAAATGCTGTTTTATACTTGAAGTCCCATACCACATGCCAACATACCACACAGAGAGGAGAATCATCAATAACCACTATGTGATTTTGGAGACTTGATAGAAATCACAAATGTTTTCACTTTTTCAGGGCTTAAGGAGTAATAATAGCCTAATATCCAGAAATGCTACATGGTGATCTACCATGAATGAAATACCATCAGCATTCTTTAAAAACCAACTATTAACCAGGCTACATCCCCAGTCCCCAATTCTATTCTTTTCTATGTACAAAGACATAAGTAACATTTTTTTTTCAATAAGTACTAGCATTTTGAACAAAACAGTTATTCTGTGTTTTGTAAGTTTCTGTATCAGTTCCTTATTGAAAGGCCTGAACTTTAACCATTTACACCAAAAACTAGCTTTATGCTCTGTGGTATATTATTTAACTTCTCTGTACAGTAGTTCTATTGCCTAGAAAGTAACACACTTAGTGATGTTCTGAGGATTAAAGCATCTTACCGATGATAGGCCTCTCGCCGATACTTTTTCAAGGCATGCTTATCCATGTTAGCAGGCATATCTGCTGCATTCTGTAGTCGATCACTCCAGGAGGTTGTCATTTTATTTGTGGGATGAATTCTAGAAAAGAAAATCGGCAACTTAGTAGTTTAATGTTAGCATTGGTATACTGACATGCTATTTTTTTCTAAATATTAAAAAACTGTAGCTTCTAAGAAATACACAATTTGTCTCTTTGGGAAAAACATCAAGAACTGAACGGACAGCTGTCTCTGAAGTAAGTGCAAACAGGGCTCTTCTTAGATTTAACTTTTTTTCCTTTTTTAGTTCTCAGCTGTAAATTATTTTGCTTTGTTTTATTTTTGCTACTGCTGGAGAGAGCCTCCCAGAGCCTCCCAAATACTAAGCAAGCAGTTTACAATTGAGTTATACTTTTATTAAAATACCAGTATTTGTGAAAGCATCTGGAATATAACATTTCCCATTTTGAAATGCTAGTATGACATTAAGCCAATATTTAAATAAACTAAACCAAGTTTGTAGGGGTTTTTTTGTTTTGTTTTTGGTCTTTTTAAGACAGGGTCTTCCTGTAGCCCCAGCTGGCCTGGAACTTGCTATACAGACCAGGCTGGCCTTGAACTCAAGACATTGGCTGTTTCTGCCTCCTAAGTGCTGGGACTAAAGGTGTATTCCACCATGCCTGGCAAGTCTGTAGGTTTTTAAAAATATTCAGATCATATTCATTTAAGAAAATTAACTAAAGTTGGAGTGCAGCTGTTTCCTCCAGGCTTGAATCAGTGCAGTTGTTATCATCTACCACCACAAGACAGTCATAAGATTAGGCCTATTCACAACATTCCTTCACAGATAGAGACTTGGGCCTTCATGAAATCCACCCTTCCTCAAGATTATATGAGGTAAACAACTGAATAGGGAGGGGGTGAGATTCTTCAGAGCGGCACAGACTTTTGTTGAGTAGTCCATACTGGAAGTAAAACTTTATGATGGTGAGGCTGCCCAAGAGTCACCCATGCCTCTATAAGTAAGCCTAATAAACTCATTAGTTCAATGTCAGCTTAATACTGTACAAGCCCTATTTGCATACTTCTGTAAGTCACTCAGATCCACTGGAGCATGTCTTTCCTTGTTTTCTTCTCTTTACTGTCCTGTTCTTTTCATGGGTTCCAAGTTTTTTGGATCCCAGGAGTTCTTAAGCACAGATCTAATTTATAATCTTCCCTTATCACCACACCCCCAAACCCACATCAGCCATACAACAGGCTGACTAGTATAGAACCCTTTCTTTGGTCTGTAGGTACCCTCCACAATGGTGTAATTTTTTTTTTTAAATGTCTCCTCATGGGGGAAAAAAAATTAAATACTTGATGCCCGCATAGGGACTGGAGAGAACCAAAGATGAAACAAGATGAGGTGCTTGCATGATCCCTCCTATGGGTGGTGGACTGATGTAACTGAGGCAAAGCCTCTTGGAGAAGAACACCCACAAGGGAAATCCCAGGATAGCTATCTTCTATTAATGTGGTATGGAAGTACCACAAGTACAGGGACAACCTGAAAATGGATGCAATATATTTTCAATCCCCAAGAGTATCACATATGGGATAGGATTTTTAAGAGCTATAGTGGCAATTCTGGGACACCTGCTATGGGTGATAAGCCATGCAACTGAGACCAAGCTGTCTACCTGAGGGAACTCATCTTCCTAAGGGAAGAATTAAATGGGAAAAGTACATATGTGTGGTATATTCCATGTTAGCCTCTGATTCGGCAGGTAAATTGGATGAAAGGGAGGATGAAATAAGATGCTGCCTTGTCATTTTTATAGCTGTGGGTGAAGATAAGGAAAGAATTCAAATTAGATCTGTGCTAAAGAACTCCTCCTAGGATCCAAAAAACTTGGAACCCATGAAAAGAACAGGACAGTAAAGAGAAGAAAACAAGGAAAGACATGCTCCAGTGGATCTGAGTGGCTTACACCAGCATGTAAATAGGATCTGTATAGTACTAAGGCAATCAAGAGGGGATGAGAAAAAGGAAAAGAGGACAAAGGAGTCTGTCCAAGTCACTAAAAAACAAATGTGGCAATAATTGTTAAGCCAGAGTTCCCAGGGACAAAAGGTGACAAAAAGCCAAATGCTGTTCTTGTGAACCTCTGTAAAGTTTTGAAGCCTAAATAATTCTCCAGGTATATGAGCAACAGAGAGGCACCACCATACTCCCTGTTGTAAAAGAAGGAAATACATCACCATGGCAATTCCTGACTGAGTGACCAACACTGCTTGAGGTGAGTACCATGTGCACAAGGAGAGACCCCAAGTTGAACTGTGGATTTGCTGGCCCAACACTAATGTGCAAAACATCTGGCCTTTAGTGGATACTGGCGGTACCTAATTCATAGCAACCTGCCAAAGCACCAAAGGCAATAAGGAGAAATGTTTGGATGTGGAAATAGAGTACTACAGGTGAAAGATTAAGCCTGTCCTAAGAGAGGACCAATTATGTACAATATATTATGTACATTTCTCTCTTGCAAGAAAACATGCTAGGGATAAATATACAGCTGGGACAAATTCCGCATACCATTGTTGGGGAGTATCAACCAAAGGTGTGAACTATAAAGGCAGTTATGTGTACGTGGGCAGGATGGGAGTCAGTAAAGCTGATTAGTCCAGTAGAGTTGTAAATAACAAAAAGCACAGACTACCTGAAGGCAATAATGAAATTTAAAGAATCCATCAAGAAATTAGAAAAGGTAGATTATTTGCCCTAACATCATCAATTCTTGGAAGAGAAACTATACTGCTCACAGAAAATGACTGGGGTTATAGAGCTAAATAAGGTGGTCTACCACCCCCCACCCCCGTTTATACCACTATAGCCAATATAAGTACAAGTGATGGGATCTTTTCGTAATTGGACCTTGCTAACACTTTTTAAAAAAATATTATCACCTTAGCTGCTGAGTCACAAGACAACTTCATACTTGCTTGATACAACTGACAGAAGACCTTCAGAGATCCTATTCACCTTCTATGGTTTCACTATAAAATGCTAACTTGACGGCTTTATAGACTTGGTAAACTATCTGGAAAAACATCTTGGAAGGACGAAAAAAAAAAAAAAACAGCAGCTAACAAGTTTGAATGAAGATACCTTATTACCTTATGCAACCTTATGTGAGTAGAAAGACACACCCAGTGCCAGTGGTGAGCTATCTTCCTACAGGTCATGGGCCAGACCCAGGAGGCCCCTCTTACCCCCATAATACAGGCTATTGCTACTGCTGTTGGCTGCATACCAGAACTGGACATAAGTCCTATTGCTGAAGACAGCACATGCTTCATTTGTAAGACATGAAGAAATCAGAGCCAGTGAGATGGCTCAGAAAATGAAAGCACTTGCTTTCAGAATCCACAGTGGAAGAAGAGACCAACTCCCAAAAGCTGTCCTTGTACCTCTGTACTTTCTGGCCATGTGTGCACACACATCTCTCTCTCTCTCTCACACACACACACACACACACACACATACACACACACACACACTTACTTTAAAAAATAAAGAGCCGGGCGTGGTGGCGCATGCCTTTAATCCCAGCACTCAGGAGGCAGAGGTTGGTGGATCTCTGTGAGTTCAAGGCCAGCCTGGTCTACATAGTGAGTTCCAGGACAGCTGGGGCTACAGGGAGACCCTGTCTCAAAAAAACCAAAATAAATAAATAAATAAATAAAATAAAAATGAGCCGGGCATGGTGGCGCATGCCTTTAATCCTAGCACTCAGGAGGCAGAGGCAGGTGGATCTCTGAGTTCAAGGCCAGCCTGGTCTACATAGTGAGTTCCAGGCCAGCTGGGGTGACAGAGAAAACCTGTCTCAAAAAGACCAAAATAAATAAATAAATAAAAATGGGACTACAGAGATAGCATAGTGGTTAAGAGCACATACTGCTCATGCAGAGGACCCAGGTTCAGTTCTCAGCACCACATGTTGGCTTCCTAACTATTTTCCAATAAATCAACAGCGTTTTTTAGCCTCTGTAGCCATCAAGCACACGTGACACACATATGAAAGCAAAACACTCATACATAAAATAAATATTTAAAACAAAACATGAAAAAATCGGGCTGAGACTGAGCTGTAAGCTGGCCTTTCTAGTAACAAGAAACTTCTGCTTGGTACTGAGCTCAGGGAAAAAAAAAAAAAACCTGTGCCTAGAGAAATCATAGTTCCCAATAAGTAAGCTACTACTACTGTTTTGTTAAATGGACAGGCTACATCTAGCAAACTGCCTTCTAAATATTTGTTTATGTCCATAGATTACTGCTGCTGTCAGTTGCAGAAGGAAACATTCCACAGTGGGTGACAGTCTGGGTGCAGACTCATAACTGGCAGGACTTCTAGGAGTGTCTATAGCTGTGGTCTGCTTGTTGCTGTGACACAACTGCCCAATGTTTAGACTTTAATGGAAGAAAATAACCATATAACACTCCCTCCGAGTTCCCTAGAACATCAATGAAGGCAGGCAGAAAGAATGTAAGAGTTGAGGAAGGTGTGGGACGGAATGTACGTTGTTTCCTCTTCGTTGAGCATGATCAGTGCCATCTTAAATAACAGCAGCTGTGATCAGCTGCATGCAATGCCCAAAAGATCAGACAAAATGGAGGGAGGGTGGAGGTTCACAAGGCCTTCATGAGATTTCCATAATGCCCCTTTCTCCTGAGAGTGTATAAGGCAAACCAACTGGAGCTGGGACTTCTCAGCAGTACAGTTGTCTAAGAATCACCCACACCCTGGTAAGTAATCCAAAATAAACACACTAGTTCACCAAGCTGGACTTACATGAAGTCTTTTCTTAAGTCTATAGGTTCCCTCTCTATCTGGAGTGAATAGATATTCCTTTACAACTTCCAAGGAAGTCATGCAACAAGAGTGAACAAGTCAGTGGCACTTAGTACATTCAAAAAGTATGATCGTGCTTCTGTGACCGCTTGAAGATGTGAGTGCTCTGCTTTCGGCTACCGCTCCAGCCACCATGCCTCCCCACCATGACGGACTGTAATTCCCCTGGAACCTTTAACCACTGCCATCTGTGTGACCACGG